GCCCCCAGCGTGCAGCACTCAGGTCTGTCCAGCTCCTGGCAGCTCGTGCCACTCTCCAGCTCTAACACCTGCTGCCTTTTCCTGCGTCACACGGGTCCCAACCGTGGAGCTCCAGCAGCAGCACTCTGGGTGTAGGGCTGGATAGGAAAAAGAAAAGCATAAGGCTGCTCATGTTTCTTAAATCTAATTATTATTGATGTGGATTGTGGGCTTCTGAAATAGCTGTTGAGAAATTGAATGGGAGGTAGCACTGAAATTTGGAGGCAAGGGGTAATAAAGATAACAACACAAAAGGAGCTTCTTGTCCAGAAAAAGAAAGAGTGTAATTATCTTAGAAGCAGAATAGCAATATAATCTTGTTCTGCTTTGAAAAGATTATTTATCACTTCCTTCAAACATTTCTGACATCTTAAAGTGTGGAAATCAAATCTTTAATTCGCAAATGTCTCCCTCCATTTCTCAACTCAATTATTAGTCTGGATTATGGATACCCTGATGATGTCATTTCATCAGTACTCTGTGTGCATTTATTCTTTAACCCATTATAAAGCATCCTCAGGTTTGAAGCTCATTTTGGTTATGAAGTACTCTGCTGAGTTAGGTGACATTATGGTGTGTTATCAAACTTAGGTGCAGATAACAACTGAAATTAAGTTTCTGTTCTGTCCTCTGCAGTGGGATACAGGAGAAGCACCAGTCCAGGTGTTTATTTTGAGGTGTATGATGTTTTGTTTTGACAACTAACATGTATCTATAGCATCAAACTTTGCAAATATATGAAGTATGCCAGTTTATTGGTAAAGGGAGGAAAGCAGTGTTGGAGTACTAGACTTTTAAAGTGTGAAAACTCTTGCACCACTCCAATTAGTTTCTTAGTGATATTTTCTTTTTATTTTCTTAAGGTGGCCAAGGATCTGGACCTCCTCAAACTCAGATGCAAGCAGCACATGGCCCACCAAATATGATGCAGACCAATCTAATGGGACTTCATGGAAATATGAACAACCAGCAGGCTGGTGCTAGTGGGGTGCCACAAGTTAACATGGGCAATATGCAGGGACAGCCTCAGCAAGGACCACAGTCCCAGCTTATGGGGATGCATCAGCAAATCGTGTCCTCTCAAGGACAGATGGTGAACATTCAGGCTCAGGGATCACTGAACCCTCAAAACCAGATGATACTTTCTCGAACTCAGCTCATGCCACAAGGCCAAATGATGGTGACACCCCAAAACCAAAATCTGGGTCCCTCTCCCCAAAGGATGACCCCACCCAAACAGATGATTCCCCAGCAGGGACAGCAGATGATGTCCACACACAATCAGATGATGGGACCTCAGGGCCAGGTGTTGCTACAGCAAAACTCAATGATGGAGCAGATGATGACCACTCAGATGCAAGGGAATAAACAGCCTTTCAATACTCAAAACCAGTCCAACGTGATGTCGGGGCCAGCTCAACTGATGAGAGGACCAACCCCAAACATGCAAGGAAACATGGTGCAGTTCTCTGGGCAGATGATGGCACAGCAGGGCCCTGTGAATGGCAATCCTTCTCAGGTGATGGGAATTCAAGGGCAAGTTTTAAGACCCACTGGACCCAGCCCTCACATCTCTCAGCAACTTGGGGATACTGCGAGCACGACAAACAGCGATGGCAACTTGACCCAGATGTTACCTGAGGTTCCTGTGCAGCAGCCTAACATGGTGCCTTCTCACATGCAAGGAATGCAAGGAAACAGCAATGCTTCAGGGAGTCATTTCTCTGGCCATGGGCTGCCTTTCAGCACAGGGTTCAGTGGAACTCCCAATGGGAACCAGGTTTCCTGTGGGCAGAACCCTGTGTTTCCTGTCAATAAAGACGTGACGCTCACCAGCCCGCTCTTGGTTAACCTGCTCCAGAGTGATATCTCAGCAGGGCACTTTGGTGTGAACAACAAACAGAATAACCAGAATGCCAACAAGCCAAAGAAGAAGAAACCTCCAAGGAAGAAGAAAAATAATCAACAGCTAGAGCAAACAACGTAGGTTTAATATTACGGTGTTTTTTATAAGGGGCATGAAGAAACTCCCACAGGCATCTTGTCAATATTTTATCAGCAAGTAATGGGTGAGAAAGGACTTGTATTTTATTCATGTTGTGGCAGTTTCTCTCAAGAGTTGGTCATTGGAATGTTTGTTCAAGATTAAAAACATGCAAATATCCAAACTCAGTTATAAACCCAATTCTACCTGGCAATTCTAGCACTGTTCCTTACCTTTACTGGGTGAAGGAAGTTTAGCATGTGGCCCATGGTGCCACAGTCCTTGGAAGAGGAGGCTGCCTTTTTTTAAGCAGTCTTGACAGCCACGCTCAAAGGGTGGGAAGTATGTTCAGAAGAACTAGAAGCCTTTATAAAACATGTGCAGGACACATTTTGGGGAGTTGTTTCCTGAATCGTGTGCTTATCCTGACACATTTCTGCCTGGAATTGAGCTGGACTTCTCTCTTAGTTGAAGCTGCAGCTAGAATGTAGAGGAAAGAATGTGGTACTTTCTGGGTAAGAGATAACAAATCCAGGCAGTGCTGGTCTTCCTGGCCTAGCAGAGGTTAGGGAAGAAAAAAAAAACCCTACAGCTCTTGAGAGGGAGGAGGCCAGTGGAAAAGATTCAAAGATGGTGAATGAATGTGTCTTTTTAGTGAAAATACAAGATGGCAGAATCTCTTCCTTCTTTGGCCAGCGTGTTCTTTCTTGGCCAGCTGTCCTGTAAGCATTTGCCATTGACATTTCACTGTCACCCAGCACAGGGTGGTAGCTGCTGCTGCTGTGCCATTGTTCAAATGTTCAAATTGTTCAAATGGTGAAGGCAGATATGCTTTATTTAATTATCCTGATGCTGCAGATGAGCCCATGGGGCATTAACAGGAACCCACCTGATGGTTCTTGGAGGGATTATTTTCAATCAGGGAAAAATGGAAAAAATTGCATAGAAAATTATAACACAGAAATATTCAAATATCAGAATTAAATTCTTAGAACCAAACAAAAAGATGGCAATAGCATGTGAAGATCCTGGTGTGGCTCTGGTTCCATCAGTCTGGCCCCTTTGAATAATCATGTTTTTAACCTGAAGTTTATGCTGCCTTTCCTAGGGACACCTGTTCAGTTCAGTGCAAAGAGAAGCTGGCATGAAGTACTAAGCAAAAGGTTCAATATTTTAACTTTTCCCTTGGTTATTCAGTGTGTAGCCCCAGTCTGCATTTTGTGCAGTGTCAAGATTCCTTTGTGAAGGTGGAATTAATAATCTCCTGGACATTTTAATTGTGGACTGAAAAACTCACACCATCAATAGCAAGTGATCTTTTGTGACAATCATTAGTTGGCTTAACTAGTACAAAAATAAAATGCAGCAATGCTGTAAGGTAAAGCAAAGCATGCTAATTTAATAGGCCTTGGAACAAAGCTTTTCAAGGCTCTCCTGTATAGTTGTGTGCAGTCATGGCATGGCTTGTCAGGTCCTCTCTGCTGCTGAGTGACCTCAGATTGCAGCTGGAGGAGGACACAAGCTGTGGCCAGATGTGGAAACCTGGGTGAAGCACCTTGGCCAGCACCAAGTGTGTGGCCAGTCTGCAGCTTTGGGGTGACTTAGAAACTTAACACAGACACCACTTCCTCCAGCCCAAACAAATCCAATAAAACACTGGTAACCACTGCTGTAGCAAGTGCCTTGCTGTGGAAGTGACAGAGCATTCAGAGGGAGCAGATGAGTTGGCACCACCTTCTGAAAAAAAATCCATCCATAATTAAAGTAAACTCTTCCTATGATTTTGTTTTCATTGGTCTTCCTGGTGAGCACCCAGCCTCAGTGTGGCCTGGGAATATCAATAAAAGTGTCTATAAAGCTCTTCCTCTGAGCTTGCAAAGCCTCACAAGACTATTTGCTTATTAAAGTTTTCTCAGTGGAAATCTCAATTACAGCTTTTCTGATGGACTATGACAGCTCAATTCCAGCTCCTAAATAAGGTTTTGAATCAGATTTCGGTGTAGTTAACAAAGGAACCAGAATGTTGTTGTGATATGGGTGAGCATTTTGGTTCTACGTGGACTAAATCAACTCTCAGTCCTTGCAGAAGCACTAAGAAGGGAGCTGTTCTTTCAAAAGTTCCTGAATTTATTCTCCAGCACAAAGAGGGAGAGTGCAGTGAAAGCTGGCTGTAACACCTTCCTGCCTCCCTCACTCTCAGCTTCCCTCTCATTGTTGGGCAAGCTCAGCGTTTTCCTGCCTTGGAATTGGCAGGAATGAAATCCCATTTGGATCACTTTCTCTTGCATCAGAAGCAAATAGGATGCTTTTCATCTCAGCTTCCTCTCTGTCATTCTTCCTCAGAAATTTTACAATTCAGAGCAGCAAACCTTGTGTGGAAATGCAGTAATTTGATAAAGACACTAAAAAGAAATCATTTTGAGAAATGATAACATAGTAACAGAAGTACAATTGGGAATATGGATTGCAATCATATTGGAATGTAAATAGGATAAGTGAGCTGTTGAAAGAGTTTATTCAGCTGAGTCTGAAATAGTTTCAAGGGTTTGCATAATTGAGCAACTTTGCATTGGAATGAAACCCAGGGCATTTTGGTTTTTTAAAAGTGTTTGCATCTGTGTGCTGAACCTGGAGACTGTGGGTAATGGGATGTAAACTGAGGAACAAGATGCTGGATGCAATGGGAACGTGGATAAAACAGGCTGGTTAATTCTATTAAATCCATGCACAAACAAGCAGTTGGTTCATGTTCCCCAGACCATGAGCATGCTGTGCACTGCTGGAACAGAAATAATCCACTGAGGGGGGGCACAGCCAGTGCTGCCATTCAGGCTGCAGTGTCCAGTGCAGGTGCTGGCAGCACTGCAGGACAGAGGCTTTGCCAGCCAGCTCAGAGGGTTTCCCTGGCAGAGCTGGGAATGCCCTCACCCAGCAGCAGGGCAGGGGCCTCTCTGCCCCCAGAGCTCCTGGGCAGGGCTGGGGCTGCCACACCTCTCATTTCAGCTTTGCTCTCCTCAGGAGCCAGCTGCCACCTTCTTTGGTTTGGCTGGTTTGGGTTGTCCTGGAGCTCTCTCTGCTCTGCTGAGGGATTTGTACCTGAAGGTTGCACTTCAGAGTGCAGCTGGTGGAGCAGAGGTGCTGCTGATGACAATCCAGACTGTACCACGTGTGCAGTTACTCTTAGATATTTTTCACATCTAGAGCTATTAAAAAGAAGAATAAATATGGAATATTTTGTCCCTCACACAAACATCTTGCTATTGATATTCTGGTTATTTTTTACACATGCCCAGTGAGCTTCAGCCTCATTTGAGATTCAGTTGATGTTTAAATTTTCCAGCAATGACAGAAGCAGATTTTCTTACCATAGCTGCTCTTTGCTGGCAAACCAAGCTCGGGTCTGTTCTGCCAGATTTGCACAGCTCCATCTGGCAGGAGGTGTTTGCTAAGGATCCACTGTACCCCAGTTCTGTTTTCTGGGTTAAACCTTTCTGTGCAGTGATGCTGTGTGTCAGCTTTGAGCTGAACTTTAACTGTAGCATTTTTAATTTCCCACCATTGTAAATAAATAGCAAAATTGACAAATTTGAGATTGCATTGACAATTTTAAGTATTATTTCAGTTCACGTGGCTGACACCTGCACCAAAGGCTGCAGCTCTTCTGGGTGATTTTGCTGCCAGAATTTTTGTTCACTTGTGGCTGTTAATATAGTGCTCTGGGCATATCTCTGCATTTTGCCAGTTTTCATCAAATTTATTGGAGGAGGCATGTAATCCTACAGCCCCTGTGTTGGTGGTGTGGTGAATAAGGCACAACAATGCACTCCAGGTGCTTTCCTTGGCAGTACCTGCCCTCAGCAGCAGTGGCTGGAACAGTTCTGTTTGCCCTATTTGCACCTTACTTGTCTCTTGGTGTATGTTCTCTCCAGTTTTGACCCACAAAAATTCAGAATTTTCCAGTCACATGCTGCTTTTTGAGTGTTGATTGGGTAGCTGATAGAACATTAGGACAAGCCAGGGTGTCTCCATGGGTGTTTGCAGCTCAGTGTCAGCTCTACAGATGCCAGAAACTGTTATTCTCAAGTAAATCGGAGTAGGATATATCTCCCCACCATTATGTATTTCCAATTCATATTTTGCTGAAAGTGTTACCTTTGTCCATGGCATTTCTGCATGATTCTGCCTCTCTTTATTGGCAGTGTACTTTTTTTGATGTCTTTAGTTTTAGCTTAGAGCTTTTCCTGCACAGAACTTCCTGTAACCTTCATATATTCATGCAGGTGATAAGAGTTTAGTCCTTCTCCTCTCATCCCTCTTTATTTTATATCCTCTGGCCATATATATTGTTCACAATAGAAACTTGGGGTTTTTCTAAGTCTGCAAAAGCTGTCTTGATTTAGTTCAAGTATTGAGCATTGAGTCTGGACAATTTTAAATTGTCTTAGAGAGTCTCCTGGAGCATCACATTCCTCAGGAGAAGGACTTGGGGGTGCTGATGGATGAGGAACTGAATGTGAGCCAGCAATGTGCCCTCACAGCCCAGATCCCCCCTGGGTCCTGGGCTGATCCCCAGTATGGGGGTTCAGCAGGGCTGGGGGGGTTCTGCCCCACTCAGGTGAGAGCTGCCCCAGCCCTGGGGCACAAGGAGGACACTCCTGTGCACAGAGCCCAGAGGAGATCACAGAGCTGCTGCCAGGGCTGGAGCCCCTCTGGAGCCAGGCTGGCAGAGCTGGGGGTGCTCTCCTGGAGGAGAGGAGGCTCCAGGGGAACTCAGAGCCCCTTGCAGGGCCTGAAGGAGCTCCAGGAGAGCTGAGGACAAGGGATGGAGGGACAGGACACAGGGAATGGCTCCCACTGCCAGAGGGCAGGGATGGATGGGAGACTGGGAGGAAATTCTTCCTATGAGGGTGGGCAGGCCCTGGCACAGGGTGCCCAGAGCAGCTGGGGCTGCTCCATCCCTGGCAGTGCCCAAGGCCAGGCTGGGCAGGGCTGGGAGCAGCCTGGGACAGTGGGAGGAGATGGAATGAGATGGGCTTTAAGGTCCCTTCCAACCCAGACTAGCATGTGATCATTAGAGAGCCCCAGCAGCACACAGCTCTGTGCTCTGGAGGGTGGCTGCAAGGCCTGACATGTCAGTGCACTCATGCTGTGCTGTTATCAAAGGCCTTGGATGCCCTGAGTGAGTCACTTCTGGGTGTAACACTGCAAGGTGCTACCATTAAAATAAATTAAAAATGCATCTGCCCATGGCACTTGCTTATCCCTACAGATGTCATAGGCATCCATACAGATGCCTGTTTAGTTTAGTTGAAATATATGTAGCTCTATCTTTTGAAATCTCCATTGGCATTCTGTTAGTCCTAAAGCTCAGATTCACAGCAGAAATGAAATGTTTAGGATCAACAGAGCACCAGGCAACTTGTTTCCTTTTCAGTAGTACCTAAGGCAGTGACTACATAGACCTGTGTGTGTTCCAGTCAGGCAAGTTACATCAGAGGCATTTCAGTGGGTCATTGCAGGCCTGTGGGGAGTGCTGGGAATTAATTACTGCAGTACTTGGTTATAGAAGCAGAAATCAAACACTGATGTAGGGGCTGGCTCTTAATTGCAATTATTTTTCTTTCAGTTCTTCAGAATCACGTCCAGCTGGCCTGGAGGAGAGTGATCAGTCATCGATGTCTGGAGACCAAGGACTGGGTTTAGAGAAGTCAGGCCCTAAACTCTCTGATTTTGCAAGCAGGCCACCAGGTAGTAGGATTTTTCTGTGATTATCTGAATGTAATAACTATAGGAGAGTTTTAATGATCTTTGCAACAGTTCTATTTTATTTATGCTATCACACATTCAATTTCAAACATTTTTTCCTCCTAGTAAGTAATTGGTGCCATTGTTTAAGTGTTTTCTTTGGGTTAGCTCAAATTGAAGAGGTGGCCCCATTCTCATTTATCATCCTGCAGGTATCAAACTGAGTACTGCAGCATTATTCAGCAACAACATAACTGATAAAAAATGTTGTATTTCTAGCTGTAGCACAGACTGATGTCTTAAAAATTGAGCATTTACCAATAACTGATTTTTGAGAAGAAACAGTGGTTGTAGTTGGAATGATCCTTTGCATGTAGAGAGGATTAAATCTGAAGTCCACAATAGGATTTCTGTAATAAACCACAGGGAATTCTTAGCGTGTTTTTGGCCAAGTAACACATGGCAGATTCTACTTTATACTCCAGACAATGTCAGGTCTGTGGCAGGTGTGCTGGTGCATGACTCTTGGGGGCTGTCAAATTCTGAAGTTAGTTTTAAGGAGTAATAATGAGTGAAAGCCCAACTGTGCATTTCCCAGTGAAGGAAATGCATGGGAAGTTGCATGGGCAGTTGCAGACACTTGTCAGGTGGTGTGAACTTGGGTTAGTAGCTGATACAGCATACTAAGAGATCTCCAGTTAAATCTCATGCAAATATTACATTAAGTAAAACTATTTTTATGAAATCAGTAAAATCTTTAGCTTTGTTTGTAAAGCCTGTTTTGTTAATGTGGCTCTCATCCAAGATAAGCAGGCTCCATGCTGTACTGTCTATCCAATCCTGTTTGTTACAGAAATTGTGCTTCCTCTGGTGTTTGCTTGGTTTTAACCATGTGTCATTTGTTGCCTTAGGTTACCCATCCCAGCCAGTGGAGCAGAGGCCACTTCAGCAGATGCCCCCTCAGCTCATGGCGCACACGCAGCAGCCCCAGCCCCAGCAGCAGCAGCCCCAGGCAGCCCCACAGCAGGGCCAGGCTCCCCCCCAGACACCCCAGCAGCAGCAGCAGATGATGATGATGCTGATGATGCAGCAGGATCCCAAATCAGTCAGGCTGCCTGTGCCCCAGGGGGTTCACCCTCCCCGGGGGCCCCTGAGCGCGGATGCCCAGCGGATGCCAATGCAGCAGAGCGGGAACATGCCAGTGATGGTGAACCTCCAGGGGCCCGGGCCCGTGCCTCCCTCTCCTGACAAACAGAGGATGGCCCTGCCAGGCAACCCTCCTCTGGGAAACAATGCAAGAAAAATGGTTTATCCAGATAACGTACAGAATCCTTCCAGCTCGCCCCTCAGAGAGGTGTCAGCAGTATCCTCTCTTCCAGAAGGAGGTGGAGCTGAGGGCCCTCCAACATCAGGAGCTCAGAATAATGTGACATCTCATTTAGTAGTTTCACAGAACCAGTTAATGATGACAGGACCCAAGCCTGGACCATCCCCACTTTCAGCTGCCCAAGGTGCAAGTCCCCAGCAGCAGTCTAGTTCTCTGTCTAGTGCTCTTACACACCATTTTCCAAATGTTGCTGCCCCCTCACAAACATCAAGGCCTAAAACCCCAAACAGAGCGAGCCCACGGCCATATTACCCTCAGACTCCCAATAACCGTCCCCCCAGCACAGAGCCCTCAGAAATTAGCCTGTCTCCAGAGAGGCTCAATGCCTCTATTGCTGGTCTGTTCCCTCCCCAGATCAATATTCCTTTACCTCCCAGGCCTAATCTCAATAGAGGATTTGATCAGCAGGGTCTGAATCCCACTACTTTAAAGGCCATTGGACAAGCCCCATCAAATCTCACAATTAACAATCAGTCCAGTTTTACTGCCTCACAGTCACACAAGCTGGAAGGTGTGGTCATGAATTCGGGCAAACAAACCAACACTGGAGGAACAAAGAGAGCAAGCCCGAGCAATAGTCGAAGGTCCAGTCCAGGATCCAGCAGGAAAACTACACCAAGCCCTGGCAGACAGAATTCAAAAGCAGCTAAATTATCATTGACAACTCAGCAGAATCCATCTCTCTTGCAGAACATGGAACTACAGAGAAATATGATGGCTAGTCCCTCTTCTTTGCCAACACCCGTGACCACAAGTTTTCAAAATAACTCCATGCTAAGTAACCAGAATCCCACAGTGTCTGTACCTGCTGTGACTGGCGTTCCTGAAGACAATAAGGAGAGCCTTAGTGTGCCTCAAGAGACTGAGAGTCAAAGTGCACAAGGTGCCCTAGGTAGCAAGGACCAGCCCAGTATGGAATTGAAAGGTGCCCCTACTCCAGAAATGAAAGCGCCAGCTCCTGAGGAACAGGCAAAAAAAGATGGGCAAGCCTTAGACAGCACTAAGCTCCCAGTCATGGAGGAAAGTAAAGCCATGGTATCTCCAGCCATGAGGGAGGCACCAACTTCTCTAAGTCAACTTCTTGACAATTCTGGAGCTCCTAATGTGACCATTAAGCCTCCTGGGCTGACTGGTCTTGAGATGGCACCAATAGTCCCCACTGGTGAGGATCTAAAGAAGATAGCTGTCATTCCTCCACTGCAGGATTCATCCTTGAGCAAGGACCCATCTAATTCACTTAGCCTGCCTCAAAATAATGAGCCCTGTCCAAATCCAGGGCCCCAGGAACTGGGAGAAGTAAGTGCAAGTGTGTCACAGAGTGTTCCTCCAGTTGTGCAGAGGCCTGTTAGCTCTTCTATTTCAGGTCCTTTACCTCCCAACCAGATAACAGTTTTTGTGACTTCCAACCCCATTACATCTGCTGCTAACACATCAGCTCCATTGCCATCCCACTTGCAATCTGCATTGGTGTCCACTGTTGTCACCATGCCCAACGTGGGGAGCAAAGTGATGGTGTCCGAGGGACAGTCGGCGCCTCAGTCCAGTGCCCGGCCGCAGTTCATCACCCCTGTGTTTATAAACTCATCCTCCATCATCCAGGTGATGAAGGGCTCCCAGTCCAGCACCATTCCAGCAGCCCCCATGACATCTAACTCGAGTCTGATGCCTCAGTCGGTGGCAGTTGTTGGTCCTTTGCATATCCCACAGAATATCAAGTTTTCCTCGGGGCCCACTCCTCCCAGCACCTCCTCCAGCAGCCCTGTGTCCAGTATTCCCACCAGCAGGTCACTCGTTCTGAACCCCTTGGCATCTCCTGTCCAGCTGCCTTCTTCCTCTCCTGCTCCTTCCAGCGCTCCGTCCCAGCTCCCTGCTCAGCAGGCCAAGGACTCGGGCCCGGAGGAGGCTCCCCAAGGGGCAGGGCTGGCTGAGCAGGGCCCTGTGCCCGCAGCCCAGCCCGGACCTGTCGTTTCCTCTCTGCTCACGGGCAGCCCGGGCTCTGGGAACAGGCGCAGTCCTGTTTCATCCACCAAGGGCAAGGGAAAGGTAGACAAGATCGGCCAGCTCCTGCTGACTAAAGCGTGCAAGAAGGTCACTGGCTCTCTGGAGAAGGGGGAAGAGCAGTACGCTTTGGATGGAGAAACAGAAGGTCAGGGACTAGAAACGCCGGTCCCGAACAGTTTGGGAACAGAGCAAGCCCCAGCAGAAGTCGATAACAAAAGCGGGACCCCTCCGGCAGGCAGCGGAACCAAGCCGAGCACTTCTGGGCCCAGCCCCTCCAGCCTCAGCCCCGCGGCGGCCGCTCCCTCCTGCGCGTCCCCGGGCGCGCCCCCGAGCGCTCCCGGCCCCGGCGCGCTCCCGGCCGCGCCCGCTCCGGCCGGAGCGCCCCCGGCAGCCCCGGAACCCGCGGGGCCCGGTGCCAACAGCGGCAGCCCCGGCGGGGCACCGGAGCCCAGCGGCGGCGCCACGGCCGAGGAGAAACCCGCAGCACCCCCGGAGCTGCTGCCGAGCGCAGGTGAGTGCGGGAATGGGAGGGAACGAGGGGCTGCGGGACATCCCGGGGGCTGCGGGACATCCCAGAGGCTGCGGGACATCCCAGGAACTGTGGGACATCCCGGGGGCTGTGGGACATCCCAGAGGCTGTGGGACATCCCGGGGGCTGTGGGACATCCTGAGGGCTGTGGGACATCCCAAAGGCTGCGGGGCATCCCCAGGTTTGCGGGACACCCCAGGGGCCTTTCCCCCGGAGCTGCAGCCCAGGCTGGCAGCTGCTCTTTGGTCTGTAACAGCTGAGTGATGCACAGGCTTGTGTTCACCAAGATTCCAGTTCCAGATGGTTTTTCTCACTTTCCATTTACTGCTCCACTGGGGTATTTGTCATGAGCGTATGATTCTGTAACTTCGTGTAACTGTTGGGAGCAAGGAGGCAAAGTGGGTGTGTCAGTAATGACAAATACTTAGGGTCCCTTTTATCCTGGTGGATACACAGATATTCTGCTTTAGTCTTGCCACAGACTTTTGATTTTGTAAATTATTTCAATTTATTGAATTCATTATGATAGTTTGAATTAATCCTAATAATACTATTTTCCTCTCTGAATAACCTTCGTCCTCTAGGGAAATTTCTGTATAACATCCAGAGCAGAAAAAAAACAAAAACAACCCACACCAAATCCCCATTTGTCTAGGGAAAAACTTAAATGCTCATTTTAGAGAAATTAATGAAAACATTTACTGCCTTCAGTTTGAAAACATAAAATACCTTTACATCTGAGCCTTGCTATTCTAATTTGTGCATCTGGCAAACTTTATACATTACATTGATGCTATTTCTTGATGCTATTTTTAATTTATTGAATCTGGTGTCGACATAAACCTATCACTCTTGAAGTGAGCTGTGTGAGTGTTGTGCTTTACAACATGAATTGGACACAGAAGATAAAACCATGGATGATAAAATCCACAGAAGTCAGGGGAACTGAACACTTCAGCTCAGTGTGACTTTCCCCACGGCTGCTGGGTGTTGTAGCTGCATGGCACTGGAAAGTGGAAGCTTCCTTTGAGCTCCACAGAAGGAATTCTGGCTTTCTAGGAAGTGATAGTCTTTATTTAAGCAGGAATGTTACACTTCTTGTCTTCCTGTTCTCTGTAAGTTCACTATCACATTGAAGACTAGAAAACATTAGCCCAACAAAAATTATTTTTCTGCCTGATCTTTTTACTTGGCAACCTAAGAAAGGTTAAGTCATCATCTTATTGCCAAAGACCTTCAAGGGCAACTCTGGAGCATATTGTGCACTTTAGTTTAAAGAGTGAGGGCACTGATTCATTAAAAATATACTATTTCCCCCCAGAATCTCTGTTGAAATTAACATTAAAAAAAAGGAAACTAAACTATTGAAATTTTAGGATTTCCTTTAATGTCACAGTCTGCTGAAAAACTGTTACCTTAAAAAATGTTGTTTATGATACTTCATTTCATCACTCATTCTAGTTTGAGAAAACTTGCTTGGGATAGCTTTGCCAAGGTTTGTTTTAAAAAGGGGAGGTGTGTATGGTGGGTAGATTAAAAATATTGCATCTGTAAATGGCAAAGTCAGGGAGAGAGAGCATTTTGTACCAGCCTGATCACACAACAGGAACTCTTTTACTCCCTTTGACAATAATGTTTTTTCCTTCCACTTTTATTCTAGCATCCTCTCAACATTTAACACAGAAAAAAAGTTCAGTTGCAACAGCAGAAAGTACTGTTCAAAGAACAGGTAAATCTTCCTTTGGAAAAGCAGAATGAGGTGAACTAAATCCTTTATGAAAATGTATTTGTTTGAATGCATATTCAGTGGTCACTAACACACTGGGTATTTTGGGGCTTGGGGAGGGGGTTTTATTATTAGTTGTGCTTTTGGGATTGTTTTACTTTGCTAATTACATTGTGCTTTGGAAGTCTCCAAAGCCTTGTGGGAGATTCAGGATGGGGTCAAGTAAAAGATGAAAAAATCCCCAAGAAAGATTTTAGATATTTAGTGTTAAATTGGAGGCACTGGATTTGTAAGAGTACATACATGGAAGTTCTATGCTGAGCTAATAAGAAAGGTCTTTCTTTCATTGTACCCTTCTGAATATAGAAATATGTTCATGCTGGGCTGGGATTGTGTTTTAGAGTGGTAATCCTTTTTTTTTGTGTTCAACTCTTAATGCTCTCCCAGCAGTGTTTCAGGATGGAGTCCTGGCTGGTGACTTTATGCTGTTCCCATTTATTATCATGGTGTTTCACCATCAGTGCTGGGGTGTTTTAAAAAAGTGATTCCCAGGCTGAGCAGGGAAAACAGATAGATGTGGGCTTACTTATGGGAAGTGCCACTCTCCATCTATTTTCTATCTCTAGTCTGATTGGAAATGGGGTTTTCAGGAAGTAAAAATTGTACAAAATGGTTTTCTTTGAATTTCCACTAAGACAAAGATGGTCATACACCCTTGTTTTTTCACACCTGATTCATTGCCATGTGCTGCTGTGACTGTACTGGGGATTCCTGCTGGGGAAAGCACTGATGCTGTCCATTGTTTTCTATTGGGTTATCACCCAATTTAAATTCTGGGTGGGAAGAAAGGTCACTCCTTTCATTGCTCATAGTCCCCAAGACATCTGTTTTTCTCAGACAGTGCTATATCCCTTTACACTGAAGAGGCTGATGTTCCAACACTGCAGTTCCAACACTGCAGATTCATCCTAGGAGCACAGACATTGCCCATTCTCTTGCTTTTTTAATGCCTCTATTCACACTCCAGCAAACTGGGGGCTAAATTGCTGTCAAAGGCCAAGCCCCAGTCTGTGCCACTGGCCCCAGGTTTGGTGGGGACATGGAGCTGGGCAGTGACACAAAGCACAGGGGGCTCCTCCCTGACATTGCAGTGTTAATCCCTCAATCTCTGGCACTTCCTCATGAGGGGCCTGTGTTTAGGTACAGGTCTTCCCTCTCAACAAAGGATATGGAGAGAATTAAAAGGCAGACAGTAAAAAGACTTGACATTTTATGTGCTGGAAAGGAGAGCTGTTTACTGAGGTGAAGACTCCAAAGGAAACCTGACCTGTATGTAAAAATCACAGAGAGAGAGAGAAAACAGGTCAGACTTCTCTTTGCATCATCTCCACTGAGATATTTTCCAATTCTGTGCAAGTGCAATTGGGCTTCAGAAATTTGTCATTAGAAGGTATTGCTGTGAGAGGTAGTTGGGTTAAGGCAAATTTTTACATGTACTATAGAGCCAGATGGGTATTTTTAAGGGTACTTTTTAAAAAATAAATAAAACCTAGAAGGTTTAGTAGAAATAAACTGTCTAAAATGGAAGTTTAAGAAGGGAGAAGAGTGTAGCCAGGGAGTTTCTCTACAGTTTTCTTCTGCAGGGCTTCAATTTTCCTCTGCCTTAGCTGACTGCAGTGTCCTGAAGGCTGTAATCAGACCAAGCACTTGGCCAATGTGGTATTTTAGCTTGCTTTGCTTTGAGAGAAGCTTATCCTTGAGGTCTAATATGTGATAGAGAAATATGAGCTAGTCATGCCTTGTCAGCAGGTATGTACCTCTACAGCAGATTTTAAAATTATCTTTTTCTTTTGTAGAACTTGAGACAAATGCTGCAGTAGTTGCTGGTCAAAGGTAAGGAGATAGTTTGTAGATTCAGAGTAGATCTAGCTTTCGTGGGAGGAGGTCCCTTTCTCTTTGCTTAATTGCTCAACCTCTGCTACTACTTTTCATTTTCTTGGCCATATCCTTTCTTTCCTGCTAAGAAATCAGGCCAGTTGAATATTCCAAACCATTGCTGAAATGTAATCAATATAAGGTAACCTTTTCCTGAGTCTGTGCTTTGGGCAATGTTTCTTCTCATCCTTTCAGGCCTGGATGTTTCATGTGCAACTTGGCTGTCATGTGAATTTTTGTTTTCTGCAAGGAAGTCTTTCAAAAGTTTGTTCTTCTGCCTTGAGGATTGTTTTCAACAGTTTTCCTCTATTTGCTTGTTAACACTGCCAAAACTTGATAAGAAAGTCAGGTAGAAACTTCAGGTTGTCCTGGTTAAGACATTTGGTAATTAAAAGATATTTCAAATGGTTGTGTTCTGTCAGAAGAAAATACAGTTTCCAAGAGCTGCTTGGAAGATTCCAAACACCCCAGGCTCTCCCTCAGGTGGCAGTGGAGCCCCTGGGGAGGATTTTGGCTGGTGGTGCTGGCACAGCTGGCCAGGTGTGGGACACTGCCCTCGTGGGTGGAGTGACCCCCAGGCTGGGCCAAGAGGGGCAGCCCCTCGTGGGGTCCCTCAGGAGATGGGGCAGTGCCTTCCTTTGACATTCCCTCAGATCAGGAATGGCTCTGCATGGAATATTTAACCCTATTTATCTTCATTTGGACTGGCATCTTTCAAAGACAAGCTGAAATTTCACAGCGAGTTTTCTTCAGGGTAGAATTTTTCTGAAAAGCTAAAGGTGGGACATTGGCAGCTGAGCAGATTCTCCAAATGAAGTGTCCCTGTGTGACACCCAGCACATCAGATTACCACAAGGGCATTTTTAGAATTTTACTGATTGATGTTTTTCTGAGCAAGAAGGAAAGTTTGAGAAGGAAAAGAAGGAAAGTTTGCAGGCAGGCTGGGTCTGGTGATGGCTGATAAAATGGACAGCTTTGGGTATGTTGAACCATACAGGACAACCCTTGAGAGAATCACAGCTGCTTTGGGTGGCAAGGGACCTTAAAACTTAATTCATGCCATGGGCTGGGTCATCTTCCAGTATCCCAAACCCAGTCCAGGGTTTGGACACATCCAGGGATGGAAAAAGCTTCTCTGGGCAACCTGTGCCAATTTCTCCCCAATAGCTAATCTAAACCTACTCTCATTTAAAGCCATTAAAAGCCTTTAAAACCTTAGGGGAACCTTGCAACCCATAAACCACTAGAAATATTTTCACTTGGAGTAATTTGATTTCCTCCTATAAAAGGAGGGAAGTGATGTGCTGGTTCCTATGAGACAACCCCAGCTCTGGATTTAGTAACTATAATCTGTAAAAATTACCTGTACTGACTGAACTCTGGGTGCTGACGTCTGTTTGCTTCACTCTGGGGAGCACCCACCTGTTTGGGGGATCCACTTTGTAGGTGGTCCATTATGCTCCATTTTAGGGAAATAGATTTCAGTATTTTGTATCTGAGATAATCTACAATCTATAATCTCCTCTGCTGTGTGTCTTTCCTTGGGTATGTTTGTCTCTCCTTCAATTGAGAAACTGTTTTATTTCAGGTTTCTGTTACTTAATCCTAAAGTTTGTGTGGTTTTAGTCCTTCCCTCAAAGCAGGACTTGTCTGAAGGGTGGCACTGCAGTGAGACCTCTGTCACACACAGGTCACCCTGTGCTGTGTCTTCAGTCTCTGATTCAGGCATTTCCTGAAATCCTGCAAGTTGTCACCCAGAGGGCCTGAAATGAGATTTCTTCTTTTCCATTCTCAGCAGAATAATTTATTTAGTTGATTACTTAACTTTGAATTCACTCAAGAGAAGTTTAGTTTAAACTTCTGAAACTGCTTAGTCACCAGAAATTGTCTGGCAAGAATGCATTAAGAAGAAAACACCCAAAACTCAGTATGAGTTTACAGGCTAAGACAGATAAAATAAAAGAAGAATTTAATTACAAAATGTAGCACTCCCTTTATTGTATCAGTAGTAAGAAACAGATTTCCACAGTACCTAAAGTTATTATTTTATAGTAAAAAAAGCTTTTTGATACAAAAAAAAAAAACCAACAAATTTTGACTTCAAGCTTTAAAACCGAAAGAAAGTTTTTAAAAAACTTTTTTTTAATATGTGAAGAAATCACTTGGATTAATGGAGTAAGTTTTTTAGCAAACCCAAAAGTTGACATACTCCCTGGAGAGTTCTTAATTCCTCCTGATGTTCATCTGCAATTTCAGCTCTGCACCCCCATTCTGCAGCAGTCTCTAATGTAACCTGTTTGCTTTTCCTAGACTTCAGTAATGGTGACACCTGTGGAAAACAGAGCAGACAATTTATAATGCATCTAATTTCTTGGTCTTCTTATGTTGAAAATATTCTCTTTGAGGACTTCTCAATTCTGTATCCTCTGATAATTTTTGATAGAAATGGACTGTACTCTGGCTTACTCAGGTCATTCTTCATCTGATAGAGCTCCTGGTATCTCTAGCGTTTCGTGTCTCCAGTGCTAATAGTCCGGAACTGGCACCCGTGTCGGGCCATCCTCCAGCTTGTCTGACTTGCATAGAAAAACATAATTCTTCTCACACTTCATCAGAAATATTTTGTCCCACTTTATTAGTAATGAGACAAAAGAGAATTGTGAAAAGTCTAAAACTCCAAGTAGAAGAAATTCAAGAGCAGAGGATTCTGCCGCTTCCCAGGAATCTGTAGAGAACGGGCAGCGCAAGCGATCCTCGCGACCCGCGTCGGCGTCCGGCACAGCTAAAGGTAACACGCTCAGCCCCCCTTCCTGGGGAGGGGGCAGCTCCTGACCTGCTTCCCCAGCCTTTGCCCTGGCAGTAGCTGCCTCCTAACGCTGGTTTGCAGCTCGTACACCCTGGGTGCTTTGTCTCTAGTTTCAAGGATTTAGCCACAGGTTGGTGTTGAAGCGTTTCCCGACGTCTGCACTGGCAGTAAATGCTGTGTGAATTCCTCTTTGGTACACCTGTGCAACTTGTTTTCTGCAGCACTCAGCACCGTAGTGTTCAGCACCTTGCCTAGTTGAATTCTCTTTGCAGAAATGTGTTGCTGTTGGAAGGACTGTGCTGAGATCAAAAAGTGACATTTTCCTTTTCCTGAAGCCTGAAAGTCTTCCCAAGTGCACGGTCAGTTCTTGCCAAGTCAGATGCCGTGGTTCAGGCACGCTCCAGAGGCTGCTGAGGTGGCAGCCAGGAGCATCAGGGAGCGCTGTGTGCTAGCACAGAGCCTCAGCTCTGCTTCACAACAACATCTGAACTCCTGAAGTTATTAACCCATGGCATTGGCAGGTGCTGACAAACCTTACTCCTACCCAGGTTACAGTCTTTAACAATTATGCAGCATTTGTGTGATATGCACGGCCCAGTGCCAGGCTGAAGCTAATTCTGTCAGCTTCTTGTGTTTAAGGGTCAGAAAAATGCTGATGGACCAAAGTTATACAAGAGAGTAGACAGAGACCGTCAAGAGGCAACACTCGACCGCTATTTTAAAGATAATATACAGAACAAAGAGGTACTGATATAAAATGATTATAAAAGGAAGTCAAGTTGAATTCAGCCACCATTTCCATACTGGAGGTACTGAAGTGTGATGCTAAGAATATTGTGTTGTCAGAGTTTCAGAGAAGCATTCCAGCTTTACGTCATTGTGCAATGACTCCCAAAGATTACACAGGGGACCTATATGTTCTGCACTTTTGTGACTGCTGAATTTAATTATATTTACTTCTTGTGGCAGGACTGTGCAGAAGAATCTGAGTCTGTATTGTAAAAATAAATTCTCTTTCATGATTGTGAAAAAAAGTTTGAAAAATGTGAAGCCAGTGTAAATAAAATCCCTGCCTGCATTTGAGGGGATCTGGAGCGTGTGACCTGCCCCACACGCTGAACTGGGTAAACCTAAAGATGACAACCAGTGACACTTCAAATTCTGAAAATGTGGGAACAGGAAAGTGCATCAAACTCAAATAATACCAAAACTCTCACAGGGGTTTGTGCTGACTGTGTAATTCATTTACCTCTGTAAATAAAACCTTGGTTTTTAACTGGTGCATCTGAAGCTGCCGCAGTGCCCAAGGGCTTTGCTGGACCCTTGGGTGCAGCCTGCAGGGGACACCTGGCTGTGCTGCCTTCCCTGTGAGCTCACAGCTGCTCCTGAGCTGTGGACAATGAGCCAAACCTGCTCTGGACAAGCTGCACATTAGTGAGGTGGCTGCAGGAGTGTCACCTGCTTTGTCACCTGTGCCTGCTCTGTTGTACATTTTTGTTAGTGAATCAGAGCTTAATTATTCTGGTTTGGTTGCTCCTGCCCTCGTTATTTTATCTGTGTCCTGAGAAACCCCCTAACCCATGGTAAAAGGAATGTGGGGCTGGGAGGAGTTATCTCTCGAGATAGAGGCTGTTTAAAGTCAGCATTAGGAAAAAGAAATCAGCAGGGAGAGAGAAGCAGACTTTGACCAGCTGGAGTAGGAGCTTGGTTGCTCAGCCTGGGGAAGGAGGAGGCAGAGGGGTCACTGTGAGAGGAGAGGACACCCAGGGAGGGTCAGCCCTGGCCCATGTCCAGCACAGGCTCTGGGAGCTGCTGGTGATGCTCCCGAGGGGCTGAGTGCTGCTGGCATCGCCTGCTCCCCCGCGCTGAGCCCTGAGCAGCACCGAGGGGGCACAGCTGCTGCCGAGGCTGCTTCAGAGCCACTGCTGCTGCCTGGGGGGCTCCAGGCTGCCCTCCAGCCTGCTGAGATGTTTCACTTCTGAAAATTGGTACTCTAGTGGAGTTTTCCCTTTTTGGAGTACTTTTCCAGCAAGGGCTGCTTTTAGCATTCACTGTACATTTGAGTTTGTTAAATTTTGAAACGTTGATTGTTTTTTCTAATTCCACATGTAACAGCTGTGGAGTTGTACTGCTGCTATTCTAATTTTAGATGGGCTTGGAAATTTTTTTCCCTTTTGACTCTTAAAATACACACAGCTGCAATAGTTTTTGGGAAACACTATGAAGAGCCAAAGAGACATTGCTAACATTTAAAATCACATTTTCAAAAAGATCTAAAGATGCAAATGCCTTTGGTCCTTACTCCTTTTTTGTTTTGAAATGGAAACTTAGTGCCTTGGTAAGTGCACTGGAGGTGTCATCTGCTGTCACCATGGCCCTGCAGGTGTGACATTTGTGTCTTTCTGCATCAGCTGTGTTCCTGTGGTCAGTGCACCTGCAGACACTCATTTCCTGGGAGCTCAGCAGCTGGGGATGCCTGGATGCAGAGTGGCTGTGAGCCCCATCTGCTCCTGTGGCACGTGGGGGGCAGCACGTGGGGACAGGGACATTCCACACCCTTGGCTCCTGCCCAGGCTGCCCTGGGGGGTTTGGATATTTTCCCCAATATCCAGCCCAGGGTGCCCCAGGGCTCAGGAGCTGCCCTGCTGTGGGGAAATGCAGCAGAGCACAGCCTGGGTGTGTGTGGAGCAATGCAGGGCAATCTGTGCCCCTCTGGGGAATGGCTTACCGACTGCACATCCATGCTTCTTTTCTTCTCTTGATTTCAGAAACGAGTGCCAGTGCAATGCAGTCAAAAAGAAGAAAATCCAAGTAAATTACTGCATGGAAACATGAGACTTGTAAATGAGTGTGAATTTACCAATAGCAATTTTGAGCTGTGATTTTTCTTTTTTAAATAAAATTCTGTACAGTAAGTAATTTTAATATTATACTGTTCCCAATAAATGATTTTTTTTTCTAAAAAACAGATAAATAGATATAAAAACTGGGTTCTTCTAAAACCCCTGGATTTGCAAAGTGAAGTCAGGGTTAGCACATTAGGGTAATGTGTTTGTATGAAATGGAAGGGGAGGGGAAGACAATTGTAAATTTATTTGTTTCCACTTTTCATAAACAATTTAGAATACAGGGTTGTCATTTTTAGGTATTAAAATAATGTAATGTGCTGTTGTTTAAGTACTGTATGTGAATAGCAGTCAGAGGGTTTATAAACAAACCCCATGTTGTTTGGAAATGTAAATAATTTTATTATATAGTAGATCTGATGTATTTGTTGTAGAAATGGACCAGTGAAACAAAAAAAAAAAATTAAGGGTTTGTATAATGTGGAATCCCTCATGCTCCAAATAAATGTTATTGTCCTATAAATTGGGTTGAATTATTATTAGCAACAACAGCAGCATCATTCCAAACAGGAGGATTGGAGGGATTATTTAGAGCTCCAGGCCTGCAAGCTCCTTATATGTAGCTCCAGCAAGGAATTTGTTTAACCACAAACAAATGAAGGGATGCAGCTGCTCCTGCAGAGCGGGGGAGCAGGGCAAGGGCACCGGGCAGGGAGAGGCTCAGCAGCTCCTTCCCCCCCTCTGGAGCTCTGCTGCCATGGAAAGGGGGTCAGGCAGCAGAGGGAGCTGCTGGGGGAGCCCAGAGCCCGAGCTCTGTGCACACACACTGCCACCTCTTTCTTGCTGCATTTTAAAAATATGTATCTGAAAATGCTGATTAAATATTAATTGTTATTAAATAGACGTTGTCAGCTTTTATAATCACAGAAATTAGCTATTTGTGCACAAGGTGGCAGGCACTGAGTGGGGCCAATGTCACAGGATCATTGGGGTTGGAAAAGTCCTTTAACACCATCAAGTCCATCTGTTCCCCTAGCACAGCCAAGGCCACTAACCCACGTCCCCAAGTGCTGCATCGACACATTTTTTAAATCCCTCCAGGGATGGGGACTCCACCATTGTCCTGGGCAGCTGTCCCAGGACTTGACAGCGCTCTTCCATGAAGAAATTTTCCCCAGTATCCAACCTGAACCTCCCCTGGTGCAACTTGAGGCCATTCCCTGTCATCCTTGTCCCTGGGAGCACAGCCCGAGCCCACCCAGCTCCCCCCTCCTGTCAGGAGCTGTGGGCAGTGAATGTTTCCTCCCAGCCTCCTTTTCTCCAGGCTGAGCCCTCCCAGCTCTCTCAGCTGCTCCTGGTGCTCCAGCCCCTTCCCTGCCCTGTTCCCTTCTCTAGAAATGCTCCAGTCCCTCAGGATTGGAGGTGCCTGAGCAGTGCCCAGCACAGGTGACAGTCACTGCCCTGGTCCTGCTGCCACCCCATGGCTGGTGCAGGCCAGGTGTCAGTGGCCCCTTGCCCACCTGGGCACACCAGGCTCACACCAGGCAGCACCCCCAAGGCCTTTCCCAAGGCAGCCTCCAGGCACTGTGCAGTGTCTCCATCCTCCCTGCCCGGGTGTGGCTGCTCCTGGCCCTGCACAGGCACAGCTGATGGGGGTACAGGAGCCCCCACTCTCCCTTGGGGCTCACCCTGCTCCGTGCTTGGCCTCGCTCCTCCTGTTGCTGCTCAGGTTGGGTGGGAAGCTTTGGAAAATGAGGACAAAGTCCACAAAACTGGAAAGCCTTCACAGAAAAGTCCCTATCCCAATAAAGCAGGGGAAGAGAGGGGATGTGCTTCAGTTTGTGGGAAATACCACCCTGTGGGGAGCAGACAGGATGGAGGTCAGGGTCACCATTCACAGGGACATGGGCCTTGGGAAAGAAGAACTGCAAGATCCAACCACTGGGAAGGAGCCTTGGAAGGAGCAAAGGGCCCTGTACTGATCCTGTGAGCAGTGTTGGACTTGGGAGCAGCTCACAGTCCTGGAGGAGAGCTGAGCCAGGCTGTGGGCAGAGAGGGCAGCCCATGGGGCAGGGAAGTGATCCCCTGGCATTTGGGGATCTGGATTGACATCACCTGGCTTCCACCTCCCACCCAACCACAAGAAGTTGATAATGTAGAGGAGACACAAGACAGGGCCACCAGGATGGCCTGGGCTGGGACACCTGAGCAAAAGGAGCCTTTGAGGGGAATGGGTTCCATTGCCCTTTGTGCTCTGCAGGAGATGGAGCCAGGATTTTACAGAGGTGTGGGCTGGGAGACAGGGACAGACACCAGCAGGACCAATGGAAAGAGAGGAGCTTCTGACTGAACAGCAGAAACTATTCCCCCCGGGACACAGTGGCAGGATCTCTCTCTGGAGCATTGGCTGAACACAGCCTGTGGTGTGAATTCAGTATTTGCCCTGCTGTGAGCAGGATGTTGGACTGGACCTTCTGAGCTCCATCAATCCCAATAACCCCAGGCTTTGTCTCCAGCTGCCAAATTTGGTTTTCCCATAAGAAGGTTTATCAAAGCCATGGAAGCTCACTCCCAGCTATTTTTTTCATTCCCAGTTTCTAATCTAACGTTTCTCTGATGTGCTTTTCCCAGCAGCTGGGGGTCACAGGTGTCTCCTTGGCTTGGCTCTGCTGGAGGAGCTGGCACAGCCTGTGGGCTGGGCAGGCCCCATCCCAAGGCTGCTCAGGGCCATGCCTCCTCTCATCTTGAGTACCTCCAAGGATACTCCTTGAGTATCTCCAAGACTCCTCAGCCTCCCCACCTGCTCCTGTGGCCAACCACCCTTACAGTGAAAAAGCATTTTCCTATCTTTAAGTGAAATTTCTTTTTACTTCAATTTGTGCCTGTCCCTGCACTGAGAATGCTGCAGTTCTGTTTTCAGTAATCTGCACACAGGGTGGGATCTCCCTGAGCCCCCTCCAGGCCGGGCAGTCCCAGCTCTCAGCCTCTCCTCCTCTCCAAGCCCTTCATCATCCCGGAGGCATCTCTGCCTCTGCTGGGTGCTGAGAACATCTCCCACTGTGCTTGCAGAAACAGCTGATGCTGCACAGATTGGCTGATCTGGGATTTTCTCAGGGCAATCGACATCTGCTTTAGCTCTGTCATTATCTGCTGAGTTGTAAGGTTTGGTGATGGGGAGGGGGAAAATCCCCTCCAACCCCTCAGCCTGTGCCATCCTCTCTCCTGTGTGTCCTTGTCTTCAAAGGATGTTTTTCTGTTATTTGTCATTCAAACCATTGACTTTTAAAAGCATTTTTAAAAAACCAAAGCATTTTGCAGACAGATTTACTTGCAGGCTTTAGAGAAATACACATAAAATAGATTTTAAATATATATTTTTTTTTATTTCTTGTGATTTTTCTTTATATTAGATTTTTTTTTTCAGTCAAGAGACAGCATTACAACCTAACAACCAAAACCAGGTTACACACACACAGGCACACTACACGATGTGTCCCAGGCAGTCGACACACAGCAAATGTTTACACAATGTCCTACGAGGAGGAGACGCCCCTTCCTACGAACCCTGCTCACACCAACGTTACACGGAACACAGAGGAGGACGGATTTCCTTAGCTTGGGTTCCAGACGGGTCTCAGTCCTACAGCACAGGGGATGCAGGAACGTGGGGGGTTCCTGACGCTTCTCCCAGCCCTGGGGGCTGAGCCGGAGCTGGCAGAGCCGCGCACAGGCGGGAGGGCACCGAGCACTCTCCGGGGCATTGCAGGGAAGGCTTAAGGCAACCTTGTCCGGCCACGGAACAGCCATCTGTCCATCTGTCCATCTGTCCATCTGTCCTGGCGCTCCTGCATCCGTCCTGCTGCTCCTGCTCGCTCTCCAAACACGGCCCCGGGGGCAAATGGGGTTTAGAGCTTTACAAAGCTGCCTAAGAGATTTAGTATATCCAAAATGCTAAATGCTTTTTAGGAAAAAAAAAAAAAAAAAAAA